GCCTGCGAAGGAAGTGGCACGACACTATTACTCTTCGCCAGTTATTTTTACGCTTTCGGATCCAGGAAAATATATACTTAGCGGGGGATCGATCAGGTTCACTTCCTCCTTATCCATTAGCCGACCAACGCCTCCGTGAAAAATCGAAAAAAAAAAAAAACGGGAAAAAAACAGCGATGTTCAACTGTTGTGCTATACTTGGTCGGAACGACGAGACGAGATTCGAATCGAATTCATTGAATTGCACAACGCGCCTATCGATAAACACTCTGTTTATGATAATGACGATTAGTGCGATATCCATTAGTTGCGACCGGTTGTGGCGGAAAGCATTTTGATCTCTCTCTCTCTCTCTCTCTCTCTCTCTCTCTCTCTCTCTCTCTCTCTCTCTCTCTCTCTCTCTCTCTCTCTCTCTCTCTCTCTCTCTCTTCTGTCGTTTGTATGTTTTTTTTTTCATCTTCAACGTTCATGCGTGATCGGTTGGTTGCATACGTATGTAGATATGTGGAGCACCACACACTCCCCCGCGTTCCTCGTGACTTGTTTGCAGAAATCCAACTGGCACGATTAGCTCGGGAAATTAATTAATGAACCAAAGCCATAACCGTCCGCGAATGGCGTGTTGCATAATTGCACGACTGAGCTATTTCTGCGACACTATTTCCCCGAGCTATCCCATTACTTCGCAGCGTTTATGCACTAACGATCGGAAGCCGCGAGCTTCCGATTGTCTGTATCATTTTAACCCGTGCAGCGACGTGTGCGAGCACACCTAAGTGTTGATGAGACGTCGATGATCGAAACTTTGATTCACAGATATACATATACATATATATATATATGTATGTATGTATGTATGTATGCCAAAGAAATAGATCCGATTGTTAATTAGTATGTGGTTACTGTGGTATTGAAATTGAATATCATGTATCAATTTAACTCTTTCAATCCTTTCGAGATAAATCTTTCTTTTTGATAACGAGTAACTAAGGATTAAATTGTATTTTATGGAAAATTAAAACTAAATATAAAATAAAAATGTAGAATATTCGTTACTGCTCCTTTAACTTTGCTCGTAAGAATAAAAAATTGTTAATTAGTATTGAAATTGAAAATTATGTATCAATTTAACTCTTTCAGTCCTCTCGAGATAAATCTTCTTTTTGATAACGAGTAAATAAGGATTAAATTGTATTTTATAGGAAATTAAAACTACATATAAAATAAAAATGTAGAATACTCGTTACTGCTCCTTTAACTGTGCTCGTAAAAATATAAATTGTTAATTAGTGTGTGGTTACTGTGGTATTGAAATTGAAGATCATTTATCAATTTAACTCTTTCGATCCTTTCGAGATAAATCTTTCTTTTGATAACGAGTTAATAAGGATTAAATTGTATTTTATGGAAAATTGAAACCACATATAAAATAAAAATGTAGAATACTCGTTACTGCTCCTTTAACTGTGCTCGTAAAAATATGAATTGTTAATTAGTGTGTGGTTTACTGTGGAATTGAAGATCATGTATCAATTTAACTCTTTCAATTCTTTCGAGATAAATCTTCCTTTTTGATAACGAGTAAATAAGGATTAAATTGCATTTTATATGGATTTCTGGAAAATTAATTGACGTGAAAAACGTATAAAATAAAACTGTAGAATACTCTACTCATAAAAATATGAATTATACTACGAGAGTTTGAGAATTTTATTAATCGTATATTCGTCGAATCAAACTAAGAAACTTATTTTTTTTTTTAGCGTTCATACACTTGCAACTATAATTGATACGCTTGAACATTGAACAGTTAGTTACGACACGTGCATTGATACTCCAGATTTCCAGATAGTCAATCACACGCGTGGCTAGAGAAAGTCAAAGTCACGTGGTCAAAAAAATCAAGCTTCGTCGGTTCTTAGAAGTGGATTGAAGTTTCTAATTAGCTTTTCTCGGAGCCTTAAGACGTAAGATTGATCTACTGATTATGTAAGATTGATCTATTGATTTCTTGTTTAATAAGAAATAAATTATTGCTTGTATGAAATTTCCTGTAAGTGAGATTAGGAACCTTTTGTGGAAGGTCAATTGAACGTATTTCTGTTAATTTGGACTTTTTATTAGATATTCGATAAAGTTTGTACAAGTACGTTTGACACGTGGAGAGTTGCAAATATCATTCTGAAGAACTGATAAGTTTTAAAACGAAAATATATGACAATCAAATACAGATCTACGTCGATAAAATACTATGCAAAATCTTGTTCTGACTAGGATTTTTCAGGCAAATTTATATTTTTACGAATATAATTAAAGAAATAAAACTTACGATTCATATGTTTTGTATATTTCACATACGTATTTTTACACATTATTATACGCGTCTCTTTAAATTTTGCCTGTATATGCATATCCACTTCCATTACAAATTGTTTTTTTCTTATAAAAAAAATTTAATCGTGCGTTAATGATTTAAGCTTTAAAAAAAAAAAAAAACAATTTCACGTGCACACGTGGATTATTTTCACTTGTAAACGTGTTCCACGATGAATAATTTCCAAAAAGAGACAAACTACGTTAAGGTAGAAAATGAAATGTATTTATAACGTGTTATGTATTACATATAAATATCCTTCGATCGCCGATAATTACATCGTCGCTGCACTTTTGACCGTATTATCCACATTCCTCAATGACAAGGATATTATTTCACCGTCAACATTCATTCTTGTCTTCTTTTTTTTTTATTTTTTATTTTTTATTTTGTGCAGAAATTACGTGATGTAAAATGTGGCTCGGTTGCAGTGTATCGTTTTCGATGAATGCCAACTAATCGAATGAAAGCAAGTCAGTTCGTCGAATTCTGACATTAAGGAGATATTTCCATTAGTACTTTCTTATCTGGCAAGTGTATTCGTAGAAAGGGAGAAACTTGAGGAATAAAATAAAAAGGGAGAGGGAAAAATTGCTGATCCGTTAACATGCGAGCGTGCTAGCATTTTGATCAAAATACACAGCTCGACGCTTTTATCCCATAACAATGCGGTTATCGAACGTGTCCACCATCTCAACATTTACACTTTGACGAACATTAAAATTTATTGGCTGTTCTTTTTTTTTTGGACAATTCATCAAGCATCAATGCCTGAATTGGAGAACTGAACTTATTGTTGGTCACATGTCGTTGAAAGATCGTAATATCTACGTAAGATCGCGAACGTCAAATACTGATAACGATACGGAATTGAAAACAATTATTTCGTATAACGATCATATCATTGCTTTCGAGAGCCTTCTCTTGGATGTATTTGTATTCCCTGGAACATTGATCTGAAAAGTATAGATTACAAATATTGTATTCGAGTTGAGCGTCGATTATCTCAATATAAAATAGTAAATTGGACGTGAAAGGAAAATTAATTTAAAAACGTAAGTCGGAGGAACAATTATGTTCTCGTTATCTCCAAGCTAGAATATCATCGCGTCCTGTACTTCGTATCGATTGAAAATGAGAATAACCTTTCCAGACTAGAAATATCGATCAATCATAAGGGGACGTAGACGTGATAACGTGGAACGACTTCTGAATATTTAATTGGTAAATATAACATTATGCGCTAATTGCGACAACACATGTGAATTACGTCAGTATGCTCGAAACGGTACCGGTAAACTTACAGTTCCTCTGTTTCTCAATTCAAAGTTATTTAGAATCGAGAATCGTTCGTTTCGCGCGATATTTCGTCCTAACAGGGCCATTTTACTCGAAGCACCACAACTGATTACAATATACTTGCATTTATCTCTTTAAGTTTAAAATTTTTCGATCGAAGAAAGTTTCGCCGAAAAATCCTCTTCGCTGAAAAAAATTTCCTTCAATCCGATTTTCGTCCGGTTCTAGTGCTTAATAGTGGCGAGAGCGTGTGTCGATAACTGTTAAAAAAAAAAAAAAATCGTATATCAGAGGCATATGTCGTTTCATTTTGCATGCATGCACTGCACTGCACTCGTTTGCATCGTCATTGTTGTTGCACTTACACAATTGTTCGCGATACAATACTCGTGGCAATTCTTATCGTTCTCTTCTCCTTTCGGGCTCGACTTATCTTATCGGCAGCCGTCGCGCTTCCAACGATTCTTCGTAAATATCGCGAAGAATCTTTGCCGAATAAAAATAGGCTCTATCGTTTACGTATCAAATTGGATATCATTCGTCGACAGATACTCGCCTTGATTACGTAAATTCAGCTTTGCGGAACGTTATTATGTACGTAAGTACATACCTTCTTTTTTTTTTCCACTCATTCTCGCGCGCGAGCAATCAGTGTAATTAGGCGTCCACCTGACGGTCGATAATTAAAAATTCTGTTTGTTGTACTTTGTAATTGGAAAAACGTCGCGCTGCCCATTATTCCCTGCTAATTTTCTCATCGTTTCGTTTACATCACGTAACGCGTTATTTTCATATTTTCATTTGTGCGATTATTACGTCACTGTTAATTGTACCTGGCAATCTTTTACACTTTTCGACCTCGCACACCTCGATCTCCATACAGGTTCCAAATTCCAATAATATTGTTTAGTGAAATGTTACAAGCTTCCAAGTAATAACGTGCATTAACGGTTCGTTGTTTTACATGAAAGAATAAAAAAAAATTTGATAGCGAAACGAACGAAACTTCTCGAATATACTCGACAAACAGCGAGTCATTCAATTACGTTCGAATTAAGAGGCTTTTCAATATTTAATATTTACTACGTTCTGTTTTTTTTCTTTTTTTTTTTTTTACGATGTTATCTACGTTCACAATTATTCTAACCCTTTTATACGTATTACCACACTGATAATAAAAGGAAGGTTTCGTAATAATTCAATTATTTGATTAGAAAATAATTAACGTACAGCTATAATTATAAAAGTAATTAACAAAATTAGTAATTAACGTACAGTTATAATTTAAAAAGTAATTAACAAATAGCGTACAGTTTTCTCGAGAAAATATTTTTATTCCGTTCGAACGAAATATTTCGTTCGTGACCGAACGTAGCAATACAGATTGCTTCATTCGCGCATTAGATTCGTCGTTAATGCAGGAATTTACGAGCCCGGGAACGACAATTCGCGCGATTGATAAACGATCGGCGGAAAATAAAGAGGATTTACGATTGGCGCGAAGTTTGAAAGGTTCGAGCGCGCGTAACCCGATCTGCCTCGCGTTCCTTGATTTCGTGCAGTAGTAAACGTCCATTTAAATCAGACAACCGCGGCGCACGTATCGAAACTTTATGTAGCGGTACCATCAATCTCTCGCGTTTGGCTTGATCGAAAAAACATCGACGAACAACGCAGTTCCGTGCGAGCAACGAATAATTTGAAGCCGATAAGATGACTCGTTTAAGGAACGTACAATCTTTTAATCGTAATCTTGCGTCTTAGATGATACAACAATTTTATACAATTTCGTACATTTCTTATTTATCAGCTAAGCTGAGAGTTACGACGTAAATTGGAATTTTCAGAATACGGGTGATTCATAATTTACAAATCTTAAAAAGAAATATTTCGTTCAGTCGTGATGATCATTTTATTTGAAAGTTAAGTCGAGCCTTAAGTAAAGAATTAAAAAAAAAAAAAAAGAATCTTCTTAACTTAAGGATCGACTTAACTAGGAATTTTTTTTAAAAGAATTCTTAAATTAATGATCGACTTGACCTCTTGCGCTGGAATGACGTGCAACGCACGTTGAGAACTTCGTGTCCCCAAAATTGCAATATTTTCTCAGTTTTAAGTATATTTATGTATAACCCAGGCGAAACAAATATTAAATTTATTACTTCCCAATAATTTTCTTATTTATTATTTCTCAATAATTTTCAATGATGTCATACCGACGAGTTCAAAAAGAAAGCGACGAACTGTTGCACACGGTTTGGTCACTCGTTACGGTCCGCAATCAGTTGCCAGCGCAAGTGGTTTAACCTCTTGCGCTGGAATGAGAATTTTTTTGTTCCAAAATTGCGATATTTCCTCAGTTTGAAGTATATTTAAGTACAACTCAGATAAAGCATAATAAATTTATTACTTATCAATAATTTCCATCTAGTGATATCATACCGACGAGTTCAAAAAGAAAGCGGCAAACTGTTGCACATGGTTTGGCCACTCGTTATGGTCCGCAATCAGTTGCCAGGCGCAAGTGGTTAACTTTGAAAGAATTTTTACGAAAAAAATTCCGCCGGATCGATTACAGCGAAGTGAACTGCGAAATCTCCGGGGAACCAGATGCATTTTTCTGATTCTCTTATCGCCGCGACGATAATCCTTTACGAGTGCAGGTCTAGAGAAACACGAGATTGGGTCACGCTTAGATTGAATAAACATGGGCTGAGTTAAATGGAACGGTATCTATGATTGCTCGCGCCGCGCCCCTTTCTATCTCCGGCCCAACCCTTTTGGTCACCATAAGGGGTTGCTCCGGTTACAACGATACTCGACTGCGTCTTCGATATTGTCACTCAACGTTTCTCACAGTCTTGTGAATCGAACTGATTCTTTCATTCTACCGCGATAAGCACGCTAATAGGAAACGTTATCTAGGTTATCAACGTTTCGTAAAAAGGGAGAGATCTCCTAGAGTAGAGTAGAGTCGTTTCACGATTCTTTCGGATCACTTCGAAGGATTGTTCTTAAAATTAAGAAACAGAAATAACATTCGTTAAAGAAAATTGTACGCTTCAGATTTTATATTTAAGAATATATATATATAATAATAATCCTAATAATTATATATAATAATCCTTAATATATATATAATAATTATATAGGAATACTATATATAGAATTATTATTATTAGAGATAAAATCTGAAGCGTAGAATTTTCTTTAATGAATGTTATTTGTGTTTCTTAATTTTAAGAACGAAACAACATAAACTTCTTCCTTTCTATATTATTCTATATTATTCTTATTATAAAATAAGAATATAATAATTCTATATTATAAAATATATATATAATAAATATATATATATATAGAAAAAGAAAATTCTACGCTTCAGATTTTATCTTTAAAAATATATATATAATAATAATAATCCTATATATATATAGGAAGAAGTTTCTCTTAATATTGGAACTGTGACAAATGTATCAGGGAAATTTATCGCAAGGAACGCTGACTCGTCTAATTAAATCAGGAAATTAATTCTAGTTGTAATTAATTCTTGTTACATTTTGTAGAGATTATCAGATACTTTTCTGAAAATAAGAAAAGCAGAGATTAACAAGTGCTAACTGTGTGTATTTGATAAATATCTCAAAAGCTTACCTGTCTGAATAATTAAATCCCATGGAAAAATCTTTCGAGATCAATTAAATCTCAAACCTAATTTAACCAGTTCACTAATATCGATTACAAGGAAATAATTCGAGACGAGGGAGAAGAAGCGCTTAAATATTCATTGTACGCGATGAATAGAATATCTACAATCTTCTCACACGCGCAACTCTTCGCGTAATTCTCCACTTTCGCCAAAAAAAAAAAAAAAAGATAAAACCGTACCTCTTGAATACCAAGTTGCTATCAATGACGCAACAGTCACAACACAACACAAAACTGGAAGCTCACCGAGAACGAGCTCGTCGAACTGGAATCGGAAACTAGTCGTCTCTAATACCGCGAACTAGCGCGCTCAGGGGCGCACAATGTCCGCTTCAATAAGGTGGCCGGTATTACCCCATAAACGGTGCTCCGTGTGTACGTTCACCAGCCATCTCATCTCAATTTCCATCACACGGTCGAACACGTTCGAGCATGCAGGAACGAAAGGTAATCGATGTTTGGAGGCGAACATCCGTGAATATCGGCCAGATTCGTTCGTTTTTCTTCGATCGCGGCGGCCTGGAAACGAGCAATCATCGTCGTGTCGACGTCGTAACGTCGTTCTCGTTTGATCGTACGATGGTATTTTCTCTCGGTGAGATTCTCGACGCTATTAGTCAGACGGTGTATCCCCGTCGTGATCGCACACTGGCGATGTGTATCGTCGATTGGGTCGGCCGAGTCGATACCCGGTTGTCGTTTCCTCGGACAATTAGCAGGGGAATTAAGGGACAATTTGCCAGTGAATCGCGTCGTTAGAGTAGCGTCCGCTTCGGGCCGGTTGCTCGACGATTACGTTGCTCTCTGGTGCACGGTGTCACAGAGAGACCGTGTCATTTCGCAAGGCCGCGGTGTATATTATGAACGTCTAAAAGGGCTAGAGGCAGGCCGTCCATTATGCCTGCTTGCACAATGGATACGTATCTAGGCCTGCCACCGGTTTTATTAACCGTTTGACAGCCCGGAATGTGTTATCGTGTAAAAGTGACGTAAACAGAGACGCCAGGCCACTCGTCAGCTGTTGATACGACTCCAACGTGGCTCCGTTCTTCTACTTCTTCTTTTTTTTTTTTTT